CTTTTTTTTCTTTTCTGAGGATTGGCGGCTGGCGTCAACAGTCGTCTCCTGCGGTATACCGTATTTACTCGATTCTACCGCGCCCTCGATTGTAACGCGCACCCGATTTCCACCACGAAAAAAACAAAACATAGGACATCGATTGCAACGCGCACCCATTTTTCTCGCTGGCCCGCACGATCACACCACTCGAAAAAACGACTCCTTTCGGGAGCGTCTTCCATTTAAATATGAGGTACGGGCGAAGCTTGTGCTCATCTGACGTGTAACAGAGCATTGCCGTCCCTGTAGTTCTACCGTGGACCGATGTCAGCACGCGAACTTGCTTCGCCCCCTTCTTCTTGACAGTTGTGGTGCCGGGCATGTCGAAGTAAAGAGGCGTCTGATCGGCATTCCCGATTCGCCCGAGCAGGTAGCCGTTGTTGCGCCGCAATTTAGGACGAACCTCTGAAAACTGTGAAGCTTTTCATCGTACTCCACCGCAAAACTTTTCGCATATGCATGTTCCCCTTCGGAGGGAAAAGCCTTTCCTCTTCATAAAGTTAGTTAGCCAGCACCTGCTCGCTTTAAACTGGCTCCGCATTAGACCTTTTTCTAAGACTAATTGCATAGCCCACACTTGGAGCAGTTCTGTCGTCACGGGCCGCTGTGCCGCTCGCTGCTCAAGCACATACTCGCCGAGCAGCTCTTTATTTGCCGAAACCAACCCTGCTGTGGTCCACTGAAGCCTTTGCGTGAAGCTTTGCTGTCGACAATCTTCTGCTTTTGTTTCCGCCGGTCCCGCACGCACGTTTCGGGAACTCCGAACGACCGCGATGCGGCCCGATTTCCGTCCGTTTCTGCACACGCGATGACTTTTCTTTTAAAAGCGGCATCGTGGTGCGCTCGAGTTTTTAGAGTTGGCCCTTCCACGCCGTCGATGCTAATGCACTACTAGATGACGAACTCCTCAGCACACGTACGAAGTGCCGCACATGGGAAACACGTAGGCAGAAATGGCCGACGCGCCATGCCGACGCACGTAGGGGGCGGCCATTTTGGATTTGCCGATGACAATAGATCGACCGCAATTTTTTGTTCGTACTTGATTCTAACGCGTATGCGACTTAAGAACTCGCTTAACCGGAAAAAAGGTGCGCGTTAGATTCGAGTAATTACGGTATCTACCACGGGTCATTTTCTGTGAATCTCTCCTGGTGAGTCGATCGTTGGCGACACCACGGTTCTTATGTTGTTCAAGTGTTGTACCGTATAAACGCTTGTAAGGGCCGCACTTTTTTTTCAGGAAGTGAGGGCTAATTTTCAGGTTGCGGCCCATACACGGAACTTTTTTTTGGTGAACTAAAAACAACGTACCAGTTAGTGAACGAAGAGCGTTTATTGCAGTATGCCACGTAGCGCTTAATCGTCGTCACTCGACGAGTCCTCTAACTCGGAGTCCGAGATAGTGTGTTGCGGAGCACCATCATTCCACAAACAGTCACCTTCGGTGCCATCCACCCAGTGACCTTAAAACTTCGGGACACAATGTCCGTCGACACCGAGCTCCACGCCGACAATATCCAACCGAGAACAGTAGCAAGCGGTGCCCTCTTCAGCCGTCCGGTCGGCGTGTGCTCATGGTTGCCGGTTGCCATCCATTCCGTGTAGAGTCTTCGGAATTCAACTTTGAATGGTCTATTCACGCTCACATCCAATGGTTGCAACATTTCTGTGAGGCCGCCTGGAATCACGGCCATGTCTGTGCCGACACGGCGCAGCTGCTTCTTCACCTTATCGGTAAGGTGGCCGCGGAAACTATCCAATACTAAAAGTGAATGTTTGGCCAACAAAGCTCCCGGTCTGTTCTGCCAAACACTTTTCACCCAGTCTAGCACCAAATCATCGTTCATCCATCCCTTCTCTTGGGCTCTAACTATGATGCCCTTGGGGAAAACTTCGTTCGGAATTCTTTTCCTTTTCAAAACAACGTACGAAGGTAGCTTCCGCCCGTCCGCGGTCACACAAAGCATTACGGTGCAGCGTTGGCGCTCAGCGCCGGTGGTCCGCACGGCGACACTCTTCTTGCCTTTTACTTCGACTGTGTAGTTCTCGGGAGAGTCAAACCACACAGGAGTTTGATCAGCGTTCGCTATTTGCGACAACAAATAACTGTGCTGATGGCACAGGCCGATGACATGCTTGTGAAAACTAAGCACCTTGTCGGTATAGTCTTCTGGCAGCCGCTGGCACAGCGTGGTCCTTCGCCGAAAAGAGAGTCTCTTTCTTTTCATAAACCTTCGCACCCAGCCAGCACTAGCCTTGAAATCCCCGGCCGGTATATTTTTTGCACGTGCCAAGGCTAGTGCCTTCATGCGCAGCATGTCTGTAGTGAGCGCAAAACCATCGTTCCGCACCTCAGTCACATAGCGGAGCAACTCCTCTTCCAAATCGGGATACTTGCACTGTTTTCCTCGGAAAGCGCTCTTTTTGATATTGGTGTTCTGCAAGGCTTTCTTCTGGGCGCACCGACGTCGAACACACTTCTCATCAACGTCGAATTTTCTGCCGGCGGCCCGTTTCCCGTGCTCGAGGGCAAACTCGATCACCTTCAACCTATAGCCAGCTGTATAGCTATTCAGCTGCTTGCCCATCGTGCGAAAACGTAAACGTCCCGCAGAAAACTAGCTGGAGTCCCAGAGTCATTCAACGGTACGCAAAACTCGAGCACATGGCAGGCTGAAGAGCACAATGACCGAACAACGCACAAACACCAAAGTTGGTGATGCTAATGCCGATATGGATAGCGCGTTTGTATAGAAGTGTCAGAAGTTAAAGATAAAATCCTCTTTAACCTTTAGTTGGCAGGTGTATGAACACTACTAAAAAAACTAAAAATTTTTAGCCAACTTCATGAACATATTAGCATGAAGAAAACCAACAAATTATTCTAATGATGTACTATATGGTGATGATGAGAATTGCGTTCTCTAACGCCATCTACTGACAACACCTAGTAGCTCACACACGCGCGCGCATTTTGAATACGCATGGGTCAAGGAAAGTGCGGATGCGGCCCTTACACACAACTTTTTTTTTTTTTTTGAATATGTGCTTCTTAAAAACGGGATGCGGCCCTTACACGGGTGCGGCCCTTACACGCGTGTATACGGTATTCGAATATTGTATAAGGTTGTATAGCGTGTCCTATTGACATATTTGATTCAGCTCGCAATATCATCGTCATAAAAGCAAGTGAATAAATGTACAAGTGTTACGGTTGTTGAACCACTCTGCTGCCTCCGTGCGCTCTGATAGCGCACATATCGAGATCCCGACACACCGTAATACGCTAGATTGGCAGCACCCCCAAGGAGGCTGCCAAACATTCTAGACAATATTACAATTTAAAATAAAATTGGCAGCTCATAGACTGCCTAAAAGCTTCCCAATATAATTCAAAACATGCAACAAAGCCTTACTGGAAACTATGAACAAATTACATCCATCCAGGGTTCATAAACGTGCAACAAAATATAAGCACACAAGCATTGTTACATACAGCCTCTGTCAGAATGCAATTACTGTGGACATGATTTGAGCCTGCAACACTGTACTCAGCAGCAGAATGCCACACCCAGCAAAACCATCCCAGAACCTATCACTTTTCAGCCAACCAGATACGTACTATGTATGAGCCAACTGGATAATCTGACAGCAGTAGAAAAATGTGGTGTATTTTATCAAAAAGAGCTGATTGCACTTTAAATGAAACTAAAAAAATGCACTATTTTACAGTTGGTGGGGCCCGCTCCAACAATTTTTTGCCAGAGTGTTCCTTCACCCCAAATACCTCAAATCTATATTGCGGTTGAAATCTACAAAGTCCACTTTTGTCGGCATTCAAGAGTAAAATTTTATAAATTTGAACATTTCATTTCATCTTAAATTAGCTTGCAAAACAGCTCTAAAATTATTCAACGTATGATATATCAATATTTGGGATATAATTAAATCTCCCTAGTGCTTTCGTCAGGTGCAATTGCGATGAGTGAACTTGGGAAGAGCGAGTGGCGCATCCTGGCAAAAGGTGCCCTTTTCTGGACTGTCAGCAGCGTTTTCTTCTTCTTGGCATCTACTGAAAAACTTCAAAATCACTCTAGCTTTTCTGCTGAGCCTACTTTATGCCATGCGATTTTGGATGACTTCTTCTCAAAGGAATAGATCCCTTCCCAATATCTTCATTTCATATAATCTCTTATTTCAAACATACCATCTTCAAGAGAAAGATGGGCATGATACTGCTAAACTCGATAAGAAACATTAAGAAGCAAAAAACAAGCACGAAAGTGAGCCTCATACTCTTTATATTTGAATTTCGCCCTACAACATGATATCTTTCAGTAAGTGTGCACTAGCCTAAAAAACAAAAACAAAATGTGGAATGTAAACGCAATAGCAAAGACTAGGACACAGATGAAACAGATAGGATGAGATTGTTGGTCATGAATGTTGATGCAGTACTGTGTTAGTGAATGTGGCTCAGTTTTATTGAAACAGAAGCAGGATATGGCTCTCTTTGAGTTCACGTTACAACCAGAAATCGCCCCCCTTGAATTACAACTGTTTTAGAAGTTGAAAGATACTTCGGCGTCCTTTACGATTGCATGAAATTCAACCTAGTTCTGGTTTCTGAATTTGACTCTAAGAGAAAAAAATGCCACAAATATTTCCTGTATGCATAAAATATGTTAAGACCACTGCTTTGTTTACCCCATGCTAATTACACTGAAAATGGAAAGGCAGTTTATGTCCTATTGGATTTCAACACATCTAAATTTGCTGAAGAAAAATACAGTACCATATGTTCCTGCAGGTTCTGTTGCTTTGCATTGAATGTCCAGTTATGTACATACACAACACTGTTAATATTCGATAAGTGCAACAGCTAAGAGAGACAACATGAGTATCTGAATAAAATAAAATGAAACAAGTTCTCATTTTTAAAGAAGAAAACTTACCATCGCCTGTACTTCTTTCCCACTGGCACCAGTGCAATACGAGTTCTTTATTAAGGAGTGACAGCACTTGTACCCCCATTGAAAGTCTTTCCAGTAGGATCCCCAGACAGACTGCAAACAGGACGCTTGCATTTAGGCTCCGAAGTAAAATAAAACATTATACAACCAATGCTAAACAGAAGTACTGCGTGAAAGCAAAGATGCAAACAAGATTTCTACACACTCATATATTGACAAAATGAGAGGCTACACTATCAAACAATAAAGTATCGAGAAAATCAAAGATAAGAGGTTAGATTTTAATGCCTCTGGATACTACACAAAATTATCAAGACATGAAGCAATGACGCGAAGTGATGACTTGTCCCACTTCCTTATCTTATGTAATACGTATTGCGAATAATTGCATGTTACATTTACAGTACTCATGTATTCAAATGCTACATCAAATTTTTTAGTATAATGACTGATTTGTGCAATTGCTTGAGATAACCACATCATGCTGCAATGAATCCAGTCTCTAAATGTAATGTTGACACTGATCTATGTGTGAGAGTTGAAATCATGCCAATATGATCCAAAGTGAGGACAGTGGAAACAAAAGTATGTGCATTGCTTAGCTCTAAATTGTTCTGTTTCAATCCGTGAGTACTGTACATGGTGGTTCTATCTCGACAACATTAAGGAGTTTGTGTGCTAAAAAATTCGATGTCAGAAATAGCATTATCCATGAGAAAAAAATCGTGATGGCTGCAAAGAATGAAAACGAGTCAGAGAATGCTTTGGACTGACACCAAATTTCTCACAGAAGCCCCTCCAAACAAAGCGAATTAGTAGAAGATGAGACTGGGTAAGTTAGTGTCAAAATAGGCATTGAACCCAAATCTACTGCGTATGCAACCATCAGACTTCACAAACACCACTACATCTCAGTGGTTCAAGCTGACTAAATGGGAACCTTGTTACGAATTGCTGTAAAGTGCGAATTACGAGAAGGTACACTAGTGTGCCCGAAACCGTGGAGTCAACAAGTGGATGCTCAGAACGAATAGGCTGCTCTCTTTGCTTTCACGTGTCACACTGGCTCTAGGAAGGAGCATTCATTGCTTTGTTTCTCTTCCTTTTCCCAGCATGACCTCCAAAGGACAGCGGCAGGCGGCCCCGCTTACTTTATTTTTTTCCTCTGCCCTCGAACTATAGAATAACAATAATAGTTGTTAGATCTGAAACAACTGTATTGTTACAAGAGACGCTGTAATGGAAAACTTCACAATTTGGACCACCCGTAGTTCTTGAATGTGCGCCTAAACGCAAGCACATGGGCCTCTACCATTTTGCCTCCATTGAAATGTGGCCACCACGACCAGGTTTATCCACTGCAACCTTACGGCTCACAACCACTAGACTGCTGGGGTGGGTTGACATAGAACGAGAACGTGTGCTTGCACACATGCACACGATCACAAGGACACTTTAATAACGGACGTAGTGAACGAACGTGTGCTCTGGCACTTCATACCCTAGCATTGACATCACTGTTGCTCTTTGCAGCCTACGCAAGCAGTGGAAACTTTTCCTTTACGTGCATCGCAAATAAAATGTCTTTATGCTTCCATGGTTTGAAGGCGATGCAAATAGGGTTCCTTAACACTATCGCACTCCCCCTTAACCACTGTGGGGGCCCTCCCGGCAAAGTGACACAGCCAAAGCAGTTCGCTGTATGGCACTGTCTGACAAGCTCTTTCATTGTTGAATTGTGCGCGCATTTTCTCACTATGCATTTCTTGCCACTTTTTAAAAAAGTAAGTGAACTTCTTTTAGTTACGCTTTGCTTCTCTCTCTATCTTTTTTTTTTTCCATTAATATACTGCAGTACAAGAACAACTCGGAGCCTTGAACTATCAATTTAGTGCTCAGGAGGATACAGAATTTAATGGCTCTGTTTCTATTTGCTTGTAGTGGGACATGGCTCCCTACTAGCAGGGTGTATTTTATTCATTTATTTATTTATTTACAGAGTACCTACATTGCCATATAGGCATTACGTAGGGGGGATTCAATTAATGACGGATGTTCTCCGATTTGTGAATACAGTCGATCCCGGATATACCGAACCCAGATATATCGAATTATTGTAGATATCGAACAGTCTAAACATCCCCTTGGAAATCACATGCAAAAGTACAGCGCTGTTGTACACGTGTATCAAACTCCCGGTCACCGCCACATGCGATATTTCGAACACTCCCGCGCATCAAGCGCCCCTGCAAGTGCGCTTCGCCGCTCCTCCTAGGAAGGTTCCGGCGACGAGTTCTCGTGCGCGCTCCCGCGCTCGGTGAGAGAGAGAGGCTCCATCGCGTCGCTAGAAAGACCTTGGACGCCTCAGCCGCGTGGTAAAGAACGCGAGCAAGAGATTGCGGGCGAGAGACAGTTGAGAAGGAAGGAAAATGCAGTTTCTGTGCGCTTGAGCCTGTTAGCTTGAGTGGCGAAGTGGTCCGCTCTCGCCGCTTGGCCAGTGGCAGTGGTTGCTCCGTTGGGAAACTCGCGAAGTGTGGTGTGTGTTTGTTTTGTTTTTGCGGCGCCGGGTCACGCGTTTCGGAGCCATGGACGCAAAAAAACGTAAGAAGTTGGATTTCTCAACGAAGGCAGATATTATCATTCGACGGGTGGAGGCCTGCGAAAAGAAGTCGTCGGTTGCCAAGGAATTCGGAAATCCTCGGAGCACCTTAAGCACATTACTGCACCACAAAGCTGATGTGAAGGCGAAGGCAGCGCAGTGCGGCCGTTTTGGAGCGTGTCGCGTGCGTGCACAGGAATACGATAAGGTTGAGAAAGTCCTGTATGCCTGGTTCTTGGAGACTCGGGCAAAAAACATTACTGTTGACGGCCCAATGCTCATGGAAAAGGCAAAGTGGTTTGCAACCGCGCTAGGTAAAGACAGATTCACTGGTGGCACAGGATGGCAGCAACGCTTTAAAAATCGCTACCGCATCGTCGGGAAGACCCTCTTGGGTGAAAGCGGGGCAACCAGCAGCAACAACAGCATTGAGAAGTGGCTGTCCGACGAATGGCCAGACATTTGCAACAGCTTTTCACCGTCGCAAATATTTAATGCCGACGAAACTGCCCTGTTTTGGCAGATGCTGCCAAGCAAGACGTTGGACTTCAAGAGTAGCAAATGCCATGGCGGAAAAATGAGCAAGGTGCGCATCTTCATTTTGCTCGCTACATAAGGACGGCTTGTGCAAACTTCAGCCGTTCGTTATCGGCAAGAGCAGATCGCCACGCTGCTTCAAGAACGCAAGAGGTCTCTCGGTGCGCTTTGCATCCAACAAAAAAGCGTGGATGACACGCGATCTGTTCACGGAGTGGCTCCGGGCATGGGATACCGAGCTGGAGAAGTCCGGCCACCAAGTCTGTCTCCTTCTCGACAATTGTTCGGCCCACCACGTCACCATCCCACTGAAAAACATCACCGTGAAATTTTTCCCGGTCTACACTATGGCGAAGCAGCTGCCTCACAACCAAGGCATTATCAAAGCCTTTAAGGTTGGGTACAGGCGACGACTGGTGCAGAGGCTCCTGACGAACCTTAGTTTGGGAATCGAACTCAAAGTTAACCTTCTTGAAGCTACACAGATGCTGACAGGCGCTTGGAACGACATGAAACAAACCACAGTCATAAACTGCTTCCGCAAAGCGGGCTGTGTGGTGACTCCTGACAGCCGTGTTCGGACACCGAAGACGACGACGTTGAGTGCTTCGACGGTGAATTTCAGGCGCTGGCGGCATTCCCTGGTGCCATCCAAGATGGCGCAACAGCGCGCGATTTTTTAAGTGCCGACAGTGACGCGCAGGCTGTGGCGGATCTCAACGATGCGGAGATCCTGGCGAACACCGCAATTGCCGCTGCCGAAGAAGCGGCAACAAGCGACTCCGATGAAGATATCCACCCGCCTACTGCAGCTGAGCTTGCGTCCGCGTTCAGCGTGATTCGCCGCTGTTGCGGCGCAATGGAAGGCGCCAGACTTTCGCATTTGGACAGCGTCAGCAAACTTGAAGACAGTTTAATGAACTTCATGGCGCAAAAGAAGAAGCAGTCCAAGCTCACGGACTTTTTTCATGCCAAATAAAGGGCCGTGGTCGTTGCGCTGTGTTTCGTATTTTCCGTGCTTTGGAGAACAAGTCGGTTACAAACCACTTGCCACGATCTCCGAAAGCTCTCAGTGATGTGCGGAGTATTCAGGTAAGCTTCAGGAAGGCATATTTTATATTTCGAATTATCGATATATCGAACTATTTTACGATACCCTTGGAGTTCGATATATTCGGGATCGACTGTAAATATAAGTCTTTTGAAGCTTCCCCATCGTGTTTTCAAGTGAGAGGGAAATTGCTTTGCACTGCGGCGCCGCTTCTCGGTCATGTGACTCACTGAGCGCTGGCTGTGTGAGGAGGAGGGCTCTCTGGGCCACGCGTGGCATGGCTGTAAGGTCTGCACAGGAGTTAGGAAAGAGCTGCACCAAACGAGCATCAAACACCGCAGAAAATGGTATACTTAACACACAACGGTAGTTTTTTTTATAGACTATTTGAGACTAATTTAGTTCATTATATCCGTTTACTGGTTAACCTTACTTTGTTACAATGAGGTTTAAAATGCATGGTTCTTAATAGAGCTTTCAGGGAAAATTTCATTTACTTTGTTATATCCATTATTTTGTTATATCCTGTTACATTATAACGAGATTTGAGTGTGTGTGCTTACATTAAATGATGAAGATAATGATTCCACAGAAGCCAGTGAAGGAGATAATGCTAGAGGCAGTGGCTCTTGTAACCAGAGTTATTCAATCATATGAGTTGTGGAGCTCCCCATAGGCTCCATGTATTGAAATCCGGAGACGACATTGACCTAGGTGTCGGGAGTTTGCAGATTGTCACGCCGCGTGTAAATCACCATGCCAGCAATTATTCACATTATTTTGCTTAGCGTTGTTTCTCCCCCATGGAGCGACAATCAGCTAACGTTCGCAAAATCGGGCCAACTACGTGTCTGAGGTTTTGGAACGCAGTTTCGTAACTGGTATGATTGAATAACTCTGCTTATAACAGAGGGCCACGTTCTTTTGCAAAACATGCAGCAATAATGCTGAACACACAGCCCCCCAGAGAGTGCCTTGAGCACTTTCACAAGCTGCTCAAATATAGCTGAAAGAGTGGGGAACAAAGAATTTACAGCAAAAGTAACCAACACATGAATTTTTTTCTAGCACCACTGTTTCCTTTCGTGGAGCTCAAAACTAGCAAAATAATTTCGAAAAAAAAACAGCCAGAAAGTGAGTAAAAGTTTCAGACAGCAAAGGCTTAAAAGCATACTCCAGTATTCTTCATTTTTCATTATTTACATATTAACTGCATCTGTACATAAATTTAAAGCAGAGGGTACCACTGAACACAATTAGTCAACCCATTCCAAAACCCCAAAAAAGAAGCAAAATACTATTTGAACTACTTTACACTATAAAAAACACAGTAGAGCCAATATGTGCTGGCAATAAAATGTTCAGATGCAATGCAATGTTTAGACACAGCACAAATTAAAGGTCAGCCACAGAAGGTGAAATCAGATATATTAACTTTTTTTTTTTGTAAACTATCCCATTGATGGGGCGCGATTCTCTATCAGTCCACCAAGTGGAGTGCCCACTTTACCCAGTAAACACATGCATTGAACTGTCATTAACTCAGACATACTTGGCCGCACACTAAGTGAACATTGTAAAAAAAATAAATAAAGGGAGATCTGGAGCCGGACGGCTGGGTACACTGAAGGTAACAAACAACTGAGCGAGCCAGCACATGTGGCTGTCGCTCGTCCTCACCCCCTTCTTTCCGCGGCCGGCAAGGTTGCGCACATTTTGAGAAAGTCCAGTTTCGAAACCAGGACGAAGTGTAAAAACAAAGAGGAGACCTGGACCCGGACGTCTGGCTACATCAAAGGGAACAGAACAACTGCACGAGCCCGCACTCGTGGCTGTTGTTTGTGCCCGCCCCCTCCTTCCTCCTTTATTTGCAACAATTGTATTTTTCTGCATAACCTGTGCAAAATATACAGAAAATTTAGAGCTGAACTTGAAGTGTGTTATACACTCAAACCCCGATACGAAACTGGATATAACAAAATATCTGCTATAATGAAGTAAATTAAAAGTAGTCTTGCAATAGATATAAAAATATATAGAAATAAATCTTAATAACAATATCTAGAGTTAAACGTCCTAAAACCCTGATATAATTATGAGAGACGCCATAGTGGAGGGCTCCGGAAATTTCGACCACCTGCGGTTCTCAACGTGCACCGAAATCTGAGCAGATGGGCCTACAGCATTGCCACCTCCATCGAAAATGCGGCCACCACGGCCGGAATTTGATCCCGCGACCTGCAGGCGGAATAAACCTTTAGAACAAATTTTCAGATATAACAAACTTTTCTGTGCTAAATTATGATTTTCAATGTTAGTTTTGCAGTGTAACCGGATAAGAGACATACACGCCAGTTTCACAGGGTCAATCACAATTGAAAGAGCTGCTGCCCCAACCAGCAGCAGCACACCCAATGACACGCAACCCCTCAGTTGGGATTTGTCAGAGGTACACCAGTGGCTGATAGAAAAGCTTTCCTTTTATAGCTTTTTCATACATCTTGTTTCTTTTTTTAATCTATCCCCAGCCATTCCTGCCACCTTTTAAAACCAAAGCAGTATGACTAAGGTAGTGTTACTTGTCGCCACAACACATTAGTTATGCTACCTACCACCAGCCAACAACGTGTTGGAAATTGGCAACAATTAAAAGAAAAACGACCTACCGTATGGTTATTGATAAGAACATGTTCCTCATACTTGGACCGGATGACAGGCCTCTCAGCTCCACGGATCACCTCACCATGTCTTGAATATTCCACATAATCCTCCTGCAGCATTACACAACTGTTAACTACAGCCACATACACAAAATTTAACTAAACATTCAGCAAACATATTGAGGTCTATGCCCAACTTATGACAGACGAGCATTGAAGAGTACTACTGTCAAACGCCTTTCAAACAGGGTGCTTGAGACCTTCAAAAGAGAGTAGACTTACAGTAAATGGAAATCTATAAAACGAAACTAGTACTGCTTAAACGGAACAATTGCCTTTGCTACGTTTGGTTTCAGGCTTGTATTCTGCACCCGTGTTCATCCCTCAGTAAACGGAACTCCCCTTAAATTAAATGTATTTTCCTGGTCCCTTCAGATTCCATTTACTAAGAGTCTACTGTACTTAGTTTTACAGGTCTCTAACTTTCACTCGTTATAGACCATTAGCTCTAATAGTCTACTCTCATAACCAGTCAGCAATGCCTACAAATGCCAGCCAGCGAGTTTTATTCTACTTGACATAGGTTCAAAATGATGTCCTGGCTACATCATCACGCTCAGCAATCAGGATGTAATCAGCAGGGCCTTGTGTTATTTAGTCGTGTGAGCTACACAGGCTGAGGTTGATCAAAGAGTCATGTTGTGCTTGCATGAGGAGCAGCGAAATCACACAGCACACAGCTGGCGCGCCGTAGCCGCCGCCGTGCTCCTCGCCAATCTGCGCACTCCAGACGAGTGACGTCACAGCTGCGGCAGGCGCACTGGCCCTGGAACGTGCGCATCAGTGTGCTTTTGTTGCAGAGTGACCGTCTCATGCTGCACCAAAGCTTCTTGATAGCGCCTCTCATTTAGCACGCATGCACACAGGTATCAATGGGGGTGTATACATAGTTGGGCGTTTTCCAGTATAGTATAGTCATGGATAAGGAAAGCGGAATCGCTACTGAGCAGCGCAGAAGAACGGAGAAGATCAACTCATCAGATCCCAAGGTAGTTGCCTGGAAATAAGCTGTTGAGGGTAGGTGGAAGAACGAACAGGAGGAGGCTAAACGTGCAGCGGAGACACCAAAGCACCTTAGCTCATGCTACGTATATCATGGCATATCTTAGCTAAGCCGCTACTAAATTTCTTTAGCCAATAATAAATAATCACATGAATCTAAGCACTAGCATGCACCTAATATCTATGATGCACAACAGCTCAACACAGAAATTGAAGTGCAGTAGATTTTTTTTAAACCCACAGAGTCTCTCATGAATTTACCTCAGCCGACTCAAAGGCCAAAGCCATCTGGCACACCGTCATTCATCATCACTTTGAAAAGCAGTGACATACCCATAACACATCTGTAAAGCAACATGTGCACCCACGTAGCTGCACACAATGCTGATGCTGTGGCTGACACTGATGATTAATTATGACTGATCCCTTTGTAAAGGTTGGGCAGATTGTAACTACCCATTGATAATCCAATTTACATGGCATGATGTCTAGCACGGTCCTATGCTTCTGCCATGTAATACTACATCCAATAAAGTGACTCCTCATCCCAAATGACACGTGCAAGGAGTCTTCTATCGAAAAAGCTATACATGTGCGTAGCACTGAGGTAAATGCTTGACTGCCACGAAAAGTGCCTGAGTTCGATTCCAGCCCAAACCCTGGCTTTTTTGCTCAGTGTGTGTTCGGTTATGCGAGTTTTTGTACTAGCCATTTCATTCTTCAAAGCCAGTGTCTAATGAGGCACTTAATGATGTTACAAAAATTGTAGCAAGGTTTCTAACAGGCATCTTCGTTCTTGTATAAAAAACACAGATGACAGAACCATTCAAGCATATTTGCCTTAAAGGCAGCAATGCATTGCAATCACTTTTGAGCTAACATGACACCTAAGGTCACCAGAACTACACGCAATGACATTTTTCGCTAATACCTACTGCAAATGCAATGCACAAATACTCTTACCGTCTGAGCAAATATCAGCTCCCTTGGTGGCATCTGTAAGTGCTCTGCTCCACCATACTTTTCTAGGATGCTGTCTTTCATGGAGTGACGGAACTCTTCTTCCTTCGAAAGGAACTCTTTGTTCAACAGTTCAGCTTTGGTGGGTTCTGCTTGCAGGTGAACATCGACGCCTTTCTCATAGGCCTGCCAGGCAAACACTGAGGAACACAAAAGATGTGTTACAAAGCAATGTTAACAAGAGAAGTTCAGGTGAAGATGGAGGCTTCAAGCAACGAGAAATCGCTGTACAGGGAATGTCACTGGAGCCAACGTTTTGACAAGTCAACTTACCATTGTCAAGACAGCAACTACATTGATGTCTTCCTGCTTTGACAATGACAAGTCCACTTGATGAAAAAATTGGCTACAGTGACCCTCTCAGTTCAACGATTTCCGATGACTCGATTTCTCATCACTCACCAACGTTTTCTCATCTCTCATCGGTCATTTACCAGGGCTCAGCATTTTCATGTTCCTGAATTACACTTTTAAAGTAAGATTGCAGAAACAAGCAAGTTAAAATCAATTGGCATACTGCTTCTCTTCTAAGCAAACAGCAGAGGCTTAAACTTTGACGTTTTGTCAAGAACAAAGAAGTCAAAGATAGTAACACCATCGTCAAATTCCTGCAATAGCACTAAAACACAATCAGGACAGCTCCATAGAAGGGCAAGAGAGGATACAATACAACCTTGAAGATAATGGAGGATTATGCCTCACCCCTTCCCACACACACAAAAAAAAGATGCTCGCATCTTCTAGTAATAAAAGAACATCAAATCGCATGCATGATTGTGCAAGAACTCAACTTGCAAGCTTTTCTAGGACAAAAAAAATACACAAGCACATAAAATATTATGAAGCTCACTAAATCAGTCTGACATTGTGAACACAAAAATATGAGTATGAAATTCAAATACATCCTCTAAATCTGAAGTTGATTTTTCCGAAATCTGATGCTTTGTCTTTACCATATGCAGGAACTTTCAATAAAATAATTAGCCCTTCTTGTAGTATCAACCAGAGTTATCCAACACAAGTAATTGAATACTTATGATCAATTATATTATCTCACTATCGTAATTAATTTATTACGATATTTACTCGCGCAAATTTCACCCTCGTGTAATTTGCAGACCCTGAATATTTAGCCAGTTTTAGTTAAAAAAATATGTACAGTAGATCCCGAATATATCGACCTCGAAGGGGATTGCAAAATAGTTTGATATATCAAGAATTCGAAATATATAATATGCATATTTAAAGCCTAAATTGAAGCATTTGAAGCCTCAGAAATTGTTACAAGAGCTAACATAATGATTCCCTCACATTATAATAAAAACAAGGAGCGAACTGCTCGATACTGTACTTTATTTCACATAAAAATACAGTTAAACCTGCCTATAACAAACCTCTGTGTAACGAATTCCTTGCTATAACGAAGTTTTTCTGTTCCCCATCATTACTCCATAGGATCACACGTATTTGCAACCTCTATGTAACAAAGTAACAGCGGGAGACAACCTTGATATAATGAATTTTCGCCACAGACAATCTAGAAATTTTGGCTCATATTTTGTCATTTTGGCAAGAGCATGCATTTTCAGCAGTTGCCTCGCCACTAAAGAAACGCGAAGCGGAGGTGGCGCGGTCGTGTTTCCGGCGATTTCTAGGCAAGAGCGAACGGATGTGCGCGAGATGGGCAGGCGGGCATGCGCGCCACAAGCCGCCGTTCTTGGAGCCGCGGGCGCATGCGCGGATGTGCCCTCTCCCTCCAAAAAAAATGAATACTTTTGCAATGCTAGTCACAGCAGAACACCTCCCGCTTTGAGTTAGCGTCACATATGTGGGGCCGCACTGGATATGGAGGGCTCTTTACCGAATAGATTTTTGTTGTATCCGTGTTGTTTGCACTTCGTTTTCGACCCTGCGCGCATTCATGGTTTCACTGTGTGCGCATGATGTGGCCCCCAACGCCATTCAGCTTCTTTTTTTTTTTTTAATGCGGACAACCCTGTCGGTACTACCTTGGGGATGTCAGCATATCAGATTAGGCGCTGATCGAAACTCTCTGAGACCACGGTTACAATGACGGATCTTTGAAGGTCGACTCGTCAAGCGTTTGCGCCGCAAGTTCGAGGAACCGTAGCCTTCGCGATAAGCCGATTAGCTCGGGCAGCAACACGACGGCACGTTGAATACACTGCAATGAATGTGAGAGCAACAAATTGTAATGTTATACAAAGTAAGGCTTGCAGCCAACTCTTTTGGATCCAAATATTGCGGAACTCATACAAAACGTGGTGTAAGCAAATACAGCCGCTCCAGGGAGAAGAGCTTTTTTCACACCTCTTCGCATTGAAAGCACACTGACGCTTGCCGAGATAGCATGCACACCCGTAAAACCTAAAGTCACCGTTGCTACTAGAGCAAGCTCCCCCCTCCCGCGTTTTTTCATGCTCGTTCAATATGGGTGGTTTCCTTTCTGTTTGAGCATTCGATGGCAGAACATTCAATGAGGGCATCCCCTTATATATGGGATGCCATCCTATGCGCCCTACAGGTGATAGAGATGACCCGGCTCATTTCATCTCTGCTTCAGCAGCACTCGCACCCTTTTACCCGCTTTTTTTACGATGCGTGGTAGCGTGGTATCAATTTGAACTTAGGGAAGAAGAACGGCTATTTGGGCTAGTTGGTTAGAATTCATGGTGATAAGGGCTGCAGCGTGAGCACGAAGGTGCTAGAAGAACCGTGAAACGAAAGGCGAGACGAGGTGTGTTGTCCTCTTTGCTTTCCTTGCCTCGTCTTTCGTTTCACATTTCTTCTAGCACCTTCGTGCTCGCGCTGCAGCCCTTATCACCATGAACTTAGGGAACATGGCAGCGACTGCAGAAACCCACCAAGAGTGTCCATGTAATTGCTATCGAAATAATAGCACAATTTTTTTTACCGCAAAATAGGTGTTTTGGGCTAGCTCTGCTTTCAGTTCCCTTTTTGTTTAATTTGTGCATTTATTTTTTGAATATTTGTACTGAACCTGCGTATAACGAAATCCTCTTTATAACAAATTTTTCTGGGGTTTTGTCAATTTCGTTATATCCAGATTTAACTGTAGTCCATAAACTTGTCTTGCTTTTTGCACGTTGTCAAGTTCCAGGCATCCTCAATATTATTGAAGCTTTTCAAATAAGCGAATTTAGCTCCCTCGGCCACAACAACGTTGATTGACGCAGAACGCCGATGCAAGCTTTGTAGTGCGGCAAAAGGGTGGTTTGCGGTGACAGCGAAGGCATTGGCACATTCATAACCGCACGGCTACACTTCTGTGGCACCAGCAACGGCAGCCAAATTTGATCGTCCGCGCTCGTGCTGCTCGCAGCATGTTTGCAAAACTATGCTTTGACTTTTCTTACGTTGTTATTTTGTGATATAATGGCTTGATTTGATGTTGTTTCGAACGTCAACAGCACTGGCTATCATACCGAAATAAAATGAACCAAACCATTTAAATTTTCTTTTTTCAAGAACCAGGGTGGGGGATGGGTTCATTATGCGAGTGGGTTCAATACACAGAAAATATTGCATTTGAACTTGTGCCATACAGCAGCCTTATGCATGTTCTGACTGTCAAATCTGAGCACTTAGCATTTGTTTTCTAATAACATTTCACCAGATGTTGGCTGACTAATTGGATCAGTGCCCACATATCCCTACACTATGATGGACAGAAAAATTTTATAGGAGTCAAGCAAGGATTTATGCTATGTCTGCTAACCATTACAAGTATTACACTTTTCAGATGAGTTGTCATAAGAAAATTGCATGATTACCAGCACTAAAACCTTACCAAGACAGCCTCAATAGTAGACTGTCTATAAAATATTAATTTAAACCAATTATACCAAGGTAGTGTTTTGCTATAGCCCTGCTTCAATTACATGATATACAGTTATGCCAAAAGTGCTCAGAACTTTTACGTTGAAGAAATATTAGAATTGAGTGCACAAACAATGCATTGAAGTTGCTAAAGCCACTTCAACAACTTCATACAGTAGCCTCACAATGGCTTTAAAGTATATTGTAATATTCTTACACGGTAAAGGTGATCAGAGAATCATTGGTCAAAGTGACTAGAGCAGCTTTAAGACCTAAAGGCATTCAGATTTTCCCAGTGAATTAAACATTGATTGATGCTTACACTGAGCTTCCGCAATCTTCTGAGTGTCCCCAGAGTACCTAACAAAATTATCACCAGCAAAATGCAGCCTGGAAAAAAATGTTTTACATTAGCAGATATTCACGTATGCCCACACGAAACAACAGACTTAAATGAAGTACAACTGCCATATATTACTTTGACATAAGAATTTTTAAAAATTAATACCAAATTTTAGCACTCAGTAACATCGCTAGACACTAAAAAACAAAAGTTTCCAACAATGGCTCACGTAGCCACCATAGATCACAATACGGGATACTTGAACGTAATCTCGCAAATTATTTCAAAAGCAATCTTTACAAAATTACGCCCAACTGTGGGGTGAACCATAATATGAAGAATATTAACATTCACCCCACAGTCACCTAGAATTCTTAAATATCATGGAAGCCATGGTGTACTTTTTTATGATTAAACTGAAAGAAAATACACTTTTCTTAGTGGCAATTCATTGCAAGGCACTGCGATGTGTTTGGTACTGAATACCAAAATAAATTTCAACAGCCAACCCTTCTTACTTACATCCTGCTCTCATTAAAATAAATTCCCTTTTCTGCTATTTTCTAATTCAAAATGAGTTCACACAGCTATTACATACAATAAACACTAACATAAAATACTACATAACACTAACACTAACATAACACTACACTAACATACAAGTATATACAGTGAAAATATATCTTTTTTTAAAGCGGCATACATGCACATGCATGAATACATGAGAGTCCATCGTTGTCCACTTACTCTTCTGGGGTCTTGTTTGAATTCTTGTATGGATTGTCCCTCATGGAACGTGTTTTAGGGTCATAATAGGCAGAGTTTGGGTCCAGATTTCTCAGGTACTAAAAAGGGAGTGACAGATTTAGCTAGAACACAACACACATTAATTACAACAGTGACATAATTTATATTTATGAAGGTCTCCATTGATGCCTTACACCATTTGCATATTGTGCATCTGAAAACAATGCACAATAAGGGGACCTTCCTAGGTCAATAATTTTCATTAAAGGTCATGGTGCACTTTTTGAGCATGGTCAGAAAATACTGCCGATCAGTAGTAAAGGCTCCTGACACAACACGAGCCAAATATTATAGCACAGCAAGCAGCCTGGAATTCACAATAAATTACTTAAGTCAGCTAAAATTACTTTCTCTTCTCTCGACAAATAACGGAAAACGCTCAAGAATCACTTGTAGAAAGCCCATCTATCAGCCATGGGCTGATTTGAACATGGTGCGCTGGATTGTTAGAGATCGCCGCCAGAGGAGGCGACTTGTCCACGCGTGCGCACGCTATCACACTTAAAAAGCCGCGCATTTGAAGAAAAAAAAAAGTTCTCAAGGTCACGAGGCGCACGTGAGATTTTTTTTTTCCCCTGCCTTCTCTCCCTGCTTAACTTCCAGTACTTTCATCGGGACGAGAGAAGAGAGAATGCAATTGAGAATGCAATTGCATGCCATAAATCTTTGTACCTCCACTCGCGCAAGATGGATTCTCAAAATTCTTGTAGCATTGAATTTGTGAGGCAATAAGGTCTTCCAGGGAATTCATTCCATGGTTACTTTAAAAAGTATTTTAGGGCCCATTGGGGAGATGAGAGTTTTTTCCAGTACTACATATTATTCATTTTTATTTGCTTTCACAAGTTTAGTTTTTCTGCTTTCACGACAAAAAAACTGGAGATGGTAATTAAACTTTAAATAGGCTAAAATAGTTTTTTAAGAGCACAATATGTCTACTAAAACTGCAAAGAGCTCATTGTCTACAGACCCATGGAAATTGTCACCTGGCTGCTTGCCACTGCATTTTGCATGAGGAGTCCACTAAGGCCGCATGCTCAAAATAACCTGGATCTCTTATGATGGAAGAAATTATCTTAAAAAAACACATCTTTTCCACATACATGAGCTTTAGTTATATCTTCAGAATGTGTTTTTCTTAAGATCCATTTTTGGGCAACACCTTGAGTTTGGACGTCATATTTTTTGTACTTTTGATAGCCCAATCGGGGAAGACATTTTGCCCACATATTTCTTAAGATGTGAAAGGTGCAACTACCTCCTTGAAAACTTGACATAACCAGTATATTCAGAACCTCAAGTAAACAATTAGTATGGGCTGAGGATTCTAAGAATTGCCACATTACCATTTTTCTCGTCCATTAAAATGTTTTATATGCACTTTCTTGATAGTACATTGTACAGTTAATGTAGGGCAATATGAGCCAATAATAGCTCAAAAAATAAAAGGTTAGTGGCATAAAAAGTTTGTCCGAAACAAACTATGCACTTCGTCATGGTATAAAATGAAAATGGTGCAATTTACTATAAAACTAATTACATATTTGAAATCAAAATAAAAGCCCACATACACAGTGTAAATTAATTCACCTAGGCTACACAATGACGCAACTTTTTTTCAAATCCCATCTCCCCTTAAGATGAAGGAGAGCTTGCTTCCTGAGGAAAGTTATGCACTTATAGCTGTGGAGGCACGCTCTGCTACTGTTGATAAGTTAGGAGCTATGGTCAACATTTTACTTTCACCTACACTTCACAGCATCACAATTCAATTCCGTTTGAGTGAAGATCCACCAGGTTTAACTGGAAACAGTGCGTATCATAATATGTAGCTTAAGGGGGGACGCGAGGATCAAATCGCGAAATTCTCGCAAAAAAACGAATTTTGGATAAGGGCAGATTTGGATTCTGCATCACCATTTCTATCATATCTAAAAATATTTCCGCCGAAAACGATCTCAAAGTAAGCTTAAAAAATGTTTTTCTGACCGCGGATCGCAAAAAGCTGGCTGAAATCTGCGCGAAAATGGCCCATTTCCGAGCGCGATACTTCCGCGCCTTCGCCGCCGCTCGCGGAAAGCTTGGTGTCACTGGAAAGCTTGCTTCACCGCCGTACTTCTCCCGGTAAAACCACGACTCTACGAGCTAAGATAAACGCACAAACAGAAAAAAAATGCGAAGGCATCCGCGACGCCTTATACGCACACCCATTGGTCGCTCCTGTCACGTGGTACTGAGCGCGCTCTGTGAGTGGCTGCTGGGACGCGCTTGCTTGCGCTGGTCGTCTGCTCCGCGCACGCACGTCTGCTACGCACACGCTGGCGCACTATAGTTTGCGAATCCCCTGCCGATACGCCGATACGGTCGCCGATACGCCAACTCTTCTCTAGCGCGAGGCTTAGCGCCCGCAATGGATCGTCGCGTGGACCGGAAGCGCAGGACGAAGTACCGGACGAAGTACGCTTACGGGAAGCGTAAACGCAAGCCTCCTGTTGGGAAAACGAAGCAGTCAGCAGCGATTGAATCAGACGAACCGAGTACCGCGTCGCCACCAAGCTACGTGTCGTCGGAAGCCGACACCTGCTCGCTGCCGATGCTCGGCAGTGAGGCCTATGACGCGGGGCCGTCAACTAGCCGCGACATTGCGGTGCGGTTCGAGTGCGACAGAAGTCTCGTTTCCGTGGCGGCGAATGACGACGTCGTGCCAGCTCTTCGGAATGATGGCGAGTCGACGGCCGGTAGTGAGGCCTATGACCCGGGGCCGTCAACTAGCCGCGACGTTGCGGTGCGGCCCGAACGCGAAAGAAGTTTCGTTTTCGCTGCGGCGGGTGACGATGCGGTGCCGGCTGTTCAAAGTGACGGTGAATCGACGCCTGGCAGTGACACTGAAGACCCGGGGCCATCAACTAGCCGCGGTATCACGGTGCGGTGTGAACGCGAGAAAAGTTTCGTTTTCGCGGCGGTGGACGACGACGTGGTGCCAGCTGTCCAGGATGTCGGCGATCGTTTGCCTCAGCGGAAGCGCACCGTTCAAATACACCTGGAACCTCGTTTCGTGTCCTCGGAAGGCGCCGAGAAGCAAGCCAGCAGTGTCCGCGATGCACTTCGCGAGGTGTCGGCAACGGAGCGGAAGTTCGGGTTCGCGCAGCAAACGGAGCAAACATCGGCAACAAAAGAGGATGAGTTCACCCTAATTCAGGTTTCTGCCATGAATTCCCTAATAGGACCTGCACTCTGCCCAAAATGTTGTAAGAAGACTTTGTCAGTGCAGCATGGGACAAAATTGGGCCTGGCAGTAAAACTGGTACTTTTGTGTGCCTCCTGTGGCCCTATTCATTCACCTTGGTCATCCAGTAGAAAATCCGAAGGAAGGGCTTTTGAAGTCAACCTAAGAGCCATGCAAGCAATCAAGTCCATTGGAAAAGGGCCCACTGCCCTGAATGACTTCTGGGCTACAATGAATGTCTCTCATCGGGGCATTCATCAAAAAACCTATCAGGAACACCTAAAAAAACATTCAAACCAGGAGCAGAGGAAGCTGCACAAAACATCTTTGCAGATGCTGTGCTTGCGGTAAAAGACGTGTACAGTAGGATGCAGCCATCAAGCCCAAACAACATCACAGTTGTGTATGACGGCACGTGGCTTACAAGAGGCCACAGCTCACACATTGGGGTAGGATGTATTATTGAGTTTTACACGGGGCTTGTGCTGGATTGCACAGTCCTTTCCAACTTCTGTCTTGGGTGTTGTCAACAACCAGCAGAGAGCGACCCCAACTTCGTCACTTGGGCTGAGAAACATCAATGTCAGAAGAATACTGATGTTGGCTCCGGACAGATGGAAGTGGAGGCTGCTCTGACACTTTTCAGGCGCTCTGTCAGCAGGTATGGCCTCCGCTACACCAACATTATATGTGATGGTGACAGCCGAACCTATCTTGCTCTGTGCAAAGATGAGGTGTACGGCTTCACACCACTGACCAAAGAAGACTGCGTGAACCATGTGCAGAAGAGAATGGGCACCGCTCTCCGCACACTGGTGACAAGAGCTAAGAAAGGGGAGCCATTGGGTGGGAGAGGTGGACTGACGCAGGAGTTGATTAAAAAACTGACCAGCTACTACGGGTTAGCCTTGCGAAAACACACAAGTGTCCCTGACATGCAAGGGGCCGTGATGGCCACTTTTTATCACGTCACGTCCACCGACGACGAGCCTCACCATGAGCTCTGCCCACCTGGCCCTGATAGCTGGTGCGAACATTGTTCAGCACAGGCCAAAATGGAGCCAGCACCACCTCACAGGTATAACCTGTCGAAACGTGTAGCGGAGGCTCTGCTGCCTGTATACCAACGTCTCTCTGACCCGCAACTGTTGGAGCGATGCAAAGGCAACAAAACTCAGAATGCGACGGAAAGCTTGCATTCAGTTATTTGGTCACTGACTTCAAAGGACCAACACGCTTCATTGTTCGCAGTGGAGACAACAGTACATGAAGCAGTTGCACGCTACAATTTTGGGAATTTGCGAGCCTACACTGAAATGTGCAAGTCCGTGGGCATCAAACCTGCTAGCCTCGCCCTTCAAAGAGCTGAAGAAAAAGACCAGCAAAGAAAACGAAAAGCACGCAGTGCAGAAAAAATGAAAGAGAAAGGACGTAAGAAGACCCTCGCAAGCAAAGACACAAAGTATTACAGTCCCGGGGCATTTTGATGGACCTTTACTGACTGTTCAACTTTAACGCCAGTTTTCTCAGAAACGTGTTTTGACCCGACTGTCCAGCTTGCCACGATGCTTGCATGACTATGGCTTGACGGATTTTCATGTGGTTTTTTGCATTGTGTTCCTCAGTGAATTTTCTATGTCGTGACGTTTTCATATTTGTTAATTACTACCTCAGTATTTTTACTCCTAAGCTAATTTCACATTATGATAACGACCACATTTACAAGCATGTATACAATGTTCTCTGTAAAATAAAAACAGAGTCATAAAAATATTTGCAGAATGTCACGACATCAACCATCCCAATGGCTAAAATATAAGAGCAACTATAGGCTTCTACCATGTTTTTTTGTCACACCAGGCTTTGGGCAAGTTTGGTAGTACACTTATGGATAAAAAAATTTATAATGCCAGAACTACTGGAGATAGCTGAATGAAACTTTGTCATGTATCATTTAGCGCAGTTTCCAGTAAGCATGCCAAATTTCATTGCTCTACGACAAAAACTAAAGAATTTCACTTTCGATCCCCACCTCCCCCCTTAAACACTTGCTCTATACTGCAATTTGCAAACGAAATTGAGAAAAGACAGAAATGGTCTGTTTTAACAGCACAGATATTACTTTCCTACAGTAGAAAAAAAAGAATAAAAATGCACAAATGTAGGCCACTGCACTATAAGCGAGTCACTGAAAAGTATGCTTATTATGCTAGTATTTTACTGCCATTTGCTTTTCCAGATGTATCACCTCTGTATGCTTAAGAACTTGTAGAAAACACAAGGGGCAAAGTGGCGCATTCAGAGGTTGTTAGGGGCAGTCTTGTGCAGTAACAAGCAATTAGTAACATGTCATCTGTCACTAGTTACTCTTTCCAGTGACTCGCCAGTGTAACTAGTTACTTTTAATTCAAAGGAACTTGTAACTGCAACACTGTTATTTTTTTTTACACATTAACAATATTAGAAAATACCATCAAATTGCTTCTGTGTAAAAATTATCGAACTGCAGCGCTCATTAAAGGCAGATGTTAAACCCTTCTCACTTTTTCGAAATTGCCTCTTTACCTTATCTTCTCCACTTTTGAAACATTCCACAATGGGGCACACCTTGCAGTTTAGGAAAGGAGGTCACTAAGAAAAATAGTTTTTCTGCCAAAGATTGTATTCGGAGTTTACTTGTAAATGACATGTCATAAATAAATTGTGCTGCAACTGATCAGCTTGCCAAGTTCACATCCCGCTTCCCCTTTACTTGGGGGGGAGGGGGCATATATACTCTTTTTGTCACTTGAGCTTCTAGCTCTGTTCTTGCTGTAAGCCGTCCTTCGCCCAAGATGCAGAGCCAATCATGTTTGACAGGTGACTAGAAAATGTCAGGGTGACACAGGTAAAAGCCAAAAGCGCCGTGAACTAGCAAAGCAAACTAAACCTTCTTGGCAACTGATTTCAAAAGTGCACTCGACTTAAAACAACAATTATTAGCAAAATGACAGACATTTTTTGCCCCCTATGCAGGTGGCGTCCTCAGTATACAATAGCAACAAAACATGGGAAAAAATGGGCAAACCTCGATCAGTCCATTAGTCACACATGTTCTTACATACGTTCGATAGGTGGCCCACAGTTGCTTTTGCAAGCCGATGCGTCGTGGAGAATTGACCAAGTTTCCAAAAATTATCCCTCCTCCCCTTCCGCTTCTTGCTTTCATCCATGAGCCAGCATTGTTACATTGTTTACGTCAAATTCAACCCCCCTAAAGTGAGTGGGTGAATCCATCTCTGAAAATGTTAATCCTGTGAACTATAATGCTGACAGACGTAATAATGATCCTGCAGCTTATCTGGCTCGATGCAAATTTCCTCTTCCCAGCAAAGGAAGCAACCAACTTGACCATCAGCAGACTTCTTATTCACAGCTGCTTAGGGTGCCCAAGTAGGGGAGGGGGAGGGCGCACGTATACTTTTAAACATGTACCTTAGTCTGAATGGCACAGAAAAGTAAATTGAAAAAAGCTACACACCTTTGCAACATCTTCACGTATGCGAAGGTTCCGCACGGTGATGCGCTGCTTGCTGTCCACTTTTGTGCCAGGCATGTCTGCATTGTCGGCATACTTGTCTTCGTCGCCATCCGCTTCGTCTTCACTGTCATCTCTCTGCAAAAATGCCAAAATAGTCGCAGCATTGCAGAAAATATTTCAAAGACATAACAAGACTAACTGAAGCAGATTCACAAAGAATAACAACAACAATACATAATACTAAATCAGACACACCGAAAATACATTCTTTCAAGGAATAGTGGTAGACTACCATTCATAACATGAGAATGCTAGCCAAATGTTTTCCACTCCATCCTTCTTCTAGTTATTTCACTCTCATGGTTCCGCTCTGCGGTAACTGCCTGTCCCCCTAAGCAGACATATTCCTTAACAACTTCCAGCACCTCACCACCCACTGTTCTCTGCCGAGACTATTGCACATTACTTTAGTTTAATGCATATTAATTTTCAGAGCTAGTATTCTGCTTTCCATGTCCAGTTATGTAATCATGATCTGACATTCGTCCCCCAAGTTATTCATCAATGCAATGTCACCAGCGAATCACCGGTTACTAAGATATTCTACATAACACTTATCCCTAACTCTTCCCAATTTTAGAGCCATGAAAACTTTCTGTACATGTGGCGAATAGCATTGCAGAGATCGAGTATCACTGCTTTACACCCTTCTTTATTGGGATTTTATCATTTTCGTTGTGGAAAACTATGGTGGCTGTGGATCCACAGATTTGTCGGTGCCCTGATTCCGCAGTGCCTGCATGACCGCTCATATCTTAAATGAATCAAATGCTTTCTCATTATCTATAAAGGCTATGTATAGGGGTTGATATTAGTATTCTGCACATATCTCTATCATCTGACCGATAGTATGAATACGGTGTATTGTTGAGTAACCTGTATAAATCATGTTTGCTCCTTTGGTTGATTGACCTTTATTGTTGTCTTAATTCTATTAGCTATTATTTTTGTAAACAGCTTGTAGACAACATAAAGTAAGCTGATTGGCCTAAAATTTTTCATGTTCTTGACGTCCCTTTTCCTATGGATTAAGATGACGTTGCCATTCTTCCAAGATTCTGGTACCCTCCCGGTCAAGAGACACTTCGTATAGAGGGTGGCCAGTTTTTCAAACACAATCTCTCCACCCACTTTTAACAGGTCTGATATTACTTTATCCTCCCCAGCGGCTTTGCCTCTTTGCATTCCCTCTAGTGCTTTCTTCACTTCCCCTGTCATTACTGGTGGGACATAGGATTCCTCTGGGTTATTACTCATTTTTATATTATCATTTTTGTTGTCTCGGCTGCAGTACAAATCTCTGTACAACTTTTCCCCTACCTTAACTATCCTATCCATAATAATTGTGACCTTGCCTACCTGTCCCTTAACGTATACATCTGAATTGTGCCTATGAACAGTTTTGCCTGCACAGCTTTAAGCCTTCTTCCTTTCTCCATAGCACGTGCAATTCTCTTCGTGTTACACCTTCTTATGATGGCTACATTACACCTATTGATTAGCTTCAAAAGCTTCACCAGCTCTATTTTGTCTGTTACATTTTAAGCTTTTACGGTTCGACGTCTCTTAATGGTGCTTTTCGTCTCGTGGGATAGCTTGCCAGGTCAGGGGCACAGTCTAATGACTGTGCCCCTGACCATGGAGAAGGAAGTATTTGAGAAGAGACTTCCAGGTCGTGGCAGTGAGCGAGGGTGATGCGATAGTGTCACTGAGGAATAGGGCTTCCGCTGAAACTCAGCAGATCATAGAGTTCCTCACAACCTTACCTAGAAGAAAATCTGGCGCTAGTGAGCTGTTGGATGCAAGGGAATGCCGGGATATGTGAGCTTCGAACTTGACTTGAGTTTGTATACCTCTAAGACGTATCTGGCTTCGCGTTAAAATGATCGATTTCTTACTAAAAGAGCACTAATAAGCTATTTATTTTTTTCATTGCACAGGAATGTGTTCTATTTACCACTGGAACCGTCTGCGTTGATGTACAATTTTACGAAGAGCCAGAAGTAATTAACAGTCGCTAAACTCGGCAGGCAGACGATATGCAATTGTTCCCTCCGCCACCTTTATGTTGTCTGTTTCTTTCTTTTGCTGTTTGGCTGTGCCGTCAGCGTAAGTGGACTTTTATTTCAGAATATAATACGCGTGAATAGATCCACTTATAAACGTTTCGTTTTAGAGAAGCTTTATTTACGCAGTTGTATTCACTTTGGAGCTGAAGCCTCGCTCAACACCAGCCAGCACAAGCCTCGCAAACACACATACCATTATTCCCAGCGCTCCCACAGGGACCTTTAAAAATTCGCATTGACGGAGGCACCACACTTCCCTCTGGGTATTCTTGTGAAAAACTCTATGCAACAAATGACGCTTTCAGCATGTTGCCACCTTTTACATGTGCTTCTATGCAAGCAAAGCATAAAAATTGTAATAGTGCATCGTACACTATATATTTCAGAGTTCTGTATGTAACATAAATTCGCAGATGTGATCGTTATTTTAGCTGCAGTTACTAACTGATACTGCCAGAATTACAGGCCATGTAGCGCTTGAAATGAACGACTATAATGTGCCCTGAACAGACGATGTCAGCTCCATGCGCGTGCTTCTCACTCACATGTTGTGTGCATACATGCGTAGGTGTCCTTTAGAGAAAAAGTTTGCAAGAAGCTGCCAGGCTTCTTTTCGCATTTGGCACATTTTCTGTATCTCTAGCGCACTAACTGACTTTCCGCGCGTCACACCGACGACACTGACTCCTCAACGTCTACACATGCATGTCACACCGCAACAACTGAGAGCTTTGCAGGTTTTGACTAGTGCTTTGTTAGGATCGGCGCTTGAGCCAAGCTGAGAGGGGTGTTTGCGGTTCTGCGAACAAGTTGCCGAAAGGAAGTGGGTCCGCTGACAGCCGTCCAAATATGAGTATTGTCCCCCGACCGGAGAGCGAGGGGTATGGAGTTGTGACACCGTGACGCAAAGTGTACAACGACGACCGAAATGGTTTTGGTCGAGACAGCCTCCTGGAATGGATGGCGGCGACAGCATGGATGACCTTCAGCTCAACAGATTGAGCGTGGCGAGCAGGGGTCCTTTGATGCTTCCGACAGTGCGAGCGTGTGTGGCCCAGCACAAAGTGGCCTCATCATCTGTGCCAGAGGGGAAGTGTGGTTGCTACCACCCGGTCAATGATGATGCCCAGGGCGGGTGAGGGCGACACCATCAAAACTGATGTGTGTGCGGTGGTTGCAGAGAGAAGTTTAAACCCATTCCCCCCCTCTAAGGCAGAAAAAGACTCTTGATAACCAGCGGCAGTGTGCTGCTGAGAGAGCCTTGGACGAGATCGCCACGTAGGACGACATTTTGGTCTAGATGTTCGTCTTGTGGCAAGAAATGCTCGCTTGTAAATATGTAGAATAAACGTCTGTACAGTTTCCTCATCAGTCTCTTCATGCTCGGCGTCTTCCTCCTGAGTCGCTTGGTGCCGGTAAGGGCGAAGTAACAACAACTCCGCAACGGATAGCAGCGGTGGGACCCTGATCAACCGCCAGCCACAATAGCTTCTTCAGGATCCGGCGAAAATGTGTTGCGCCAAAATGCAACAGTGGTACCCATCTTGCAAGGAGAACGTAATTATGTTCAAAGTTTCTAGTGACCGAGTGAGGTTGTTAGCGTGGGCTCGCACCACACCAAGGAAACTCGTGATGCCTCGTGACAACGTTTTTGTGAAGCACTTCTCAGACAGCAAGGCGGCGCTACTGTGGCGAGCAATGTGGCGAGCAACGTGGCAAAGTTCTGGAAAAACCAAAATGGCCAGCGTTGTTACCAGACGCCGTACCTTCAATTTTTCCATGCTGTCCCAACTACCTGTATCGTTTCCACAAAAAATAATAAATAAAAAATAAATAAGATAAGACAAACTACACTTGGTGCGAGTCCACCAGTGTGGGTGAGAGCCATAGAAGAAGGCGAACAAGAACAAAATGCGGAAAGCATACAAAAACAGATACTTCGGTGGCTAAAGGTACAAACCATGCGCGCTGCTTGCAAGAATGAAGAAATTGAGATCATGAATCCTATGAGCTCATCTTCTCATGAGTTCGCTGTCCTGAACTTGAAGAAACAAGAGCCGACTTCAGCGAGGTTAAAAGGCATAATACAGTGCTCTGTGCCAGCAATTCATACTTTAGTCGCATCTATCCCGATTTAGTGGTTACGGGCAACGCTGATTTTGCTCATGCAGTCAACATCGCTGACGCTGGTATTTCTGTAAAACCAGCTCTTTAAAATTACATAGCAAAAATTTGGAGCCTGTGAGGACACACATACACACACCCATTTGGATGTGTAACACAAATCGGCACTGAATGTCCTTGAACTGACGAGCTTCACCGAAGAGCGCGATTAGCAGCACGCATGTTTATTCTTCTCTCACAACAGAAAGCGCATCAGTGCTGTGCCAGATTTCGTGACTTTATTAGGACGGCCGAATGAGCGCAGTTTTGCCTCCTCAAGAATTCTTACTCCGTGCCTCCTACTTCAGTTGCACACTCCATAACGATACTAGGCAGATCATCATTCACTGCATTAACCCTAACGCTGCTTTCCTGGGTTAGAGCCACAAATTTATTTTGAAGTAAGTGTTTCAATTCCTGTACTTTCCCTCTCAGCACTAGCTCACTGATTGGTTTCTTGCGTATCACTTTCTGCTGTTCCTTTCTCAAGTTTAGGCGAAGTTGAGACCTTATCATTATATGGTCACTGCATCGGATCTTGCCAACTACTTCCACATCTTGGACTATGCCTGGGTGTTCACACTGATATTTCATTTTTAGTTTCGACTTTGGGACTTAAGACTCTTGTATGTCCACTTACAATTAGCCCATGTTCTGTAGGAGGTATTCAAGGTCCCAAAATAATTAAGTTCTGCGAGCTCTACTAGTCCCTCTCTTCTGGCATTTATAGCAAAATAATTGTTTTGCACTTTCACTCTGTCTTATTAAAGATGCTTGATTAAGGTAGTAACCTAAAGGTTACTACCTCCCTCCTTCAGATGTGTATTCTCATATATTATGGAGTTTTGAAATACCGTACACACTAGAGAGAATCCATTGCCTTTCGTTTTTCGATACAGCTCCAATTCAATATCTTTTTTTTAACACTGTTCTAAGAATAACATAACAATTGATGGGGTTTAACGACCCAAAACACAGTATGACTATGAAAGACGCCGCAGGAGGGGCTTCAGAAATTTTGGTTGTCTGGGATGCTTCAACATGCACCTAAATCCAAGACCACAGGCCTCGAGCATTTTCGCCTTCATTGGAAATGCAGCTGCGATTCATATCCTGTGATTAGCGGGTCAACAGTTGAGCACAATAACCACTATACAACCGTGGCAAGCTTTAACAGTGTTCTCACTCACTGAAAAATTCCTGAGCAAACGCTTGATTTTCAGATGACCAGTGGTGACAGAATATAAAATTTTCACTATTAAACAAGCAGTCACATCAAAGATTGCTCCATTTTAAAATGTTGCATGCAGATTTGTAAAGTTTCCCATTAATTCAGCAAAATTAACCACTCAGCTACAAGAGGGTTAACAACAAAGCGAAAATTCAGCATGTTGGCCAAAATACCTCACGTGTACCGACACCCTCCAGGTGCAAGATATCATGCTTCAGCCTGTCTTCCTTCAGTTGCCGTTTTGCCTGCAAGGGACAACACAAGAGTAAACTATATACTTGAGCAAAGCCAATATGACACTAAATAATGGAGTACCAACAACATTACCTCTTCTACCTTCCTGTATTCTTCTATGACAGCATGATAGCAGGCAGGGTCAAAGCCATTCCATCTGTCCCGCTTTCCATCATAGTCCAAATTCAAATCCGGCAAGTTTTTTTCATCAGGAGCTATGTCATCATTTGTAAATCGAGCGCCAACTTTCCGGGGTCTCTAAACAAGCAAAAATTAGAGGATAATAATAAATCAGAACAAGCTCCTTTAGCGGAAAGAGATAAAACAATATAAAGCAAGAAGCGGTCCTTGATGAAAACAGGCTTCCTGAAACTACCAGGGATACATAAAACTGTGATGCAGAGAACCCTTACTGCAATCAATTACTCTGTTAGCAAACTTCCCAAGCACATACGTCAGTAATATGCCGTAATATGAGGCTCTTCCACGCTTTCTACGAGTTCTTGTGGCACGAAAAAGTTACCTCTAAGCAATCCTTCCGCTTGTGGGTCAAGGCACCGCAGTTTTCGCAAGCACCTTTTCTGTACTTGGTTGCTCTGGAATCCTGCAAGAAGTCATAACAACGATGTGGAATGAGGGAATCTTCCAGGCCAGCACTGGAAGCTCGAAATTTTGTTCCAAAATTTGTCGCTTACAAATTCTCCTCGAGAATAGTAATCGTCGATCCTAGAGAACTGCTTCTGCTTCTCAGGCTGTGGGCGCTGGTGCCTCAAAGTGGGCCCTTTAGCTCCAAAATACCACGGTGCCGAAGATATGTACTGAGGAATATGCGGGTTGATGTCCCTGCACAAAACACGAGTAGGCGGAGCAAATTAATTTCGGCAGCCAGTCCGAGCGGTGCACACATCAAAATCTCAAGTGGAAACTTACTTTCCTTCCTCATCGACAGCGGCTGGTGCTGTGCCCGCTTTTCTGGCCTCTTCGAGCTCCTTTGCTTTTCTCCAATCCTCTCGAGACTGCTTTTTGGGCTCGTCAACATCCTTGCTCTTGATGATTTCCGAGACGGGCAGATTCGTCTGATTCATTCTCTCGTCGTCAGCCGGCCGACATCCAGAGACTTACTGGAATTCACAGAATCCGTTACATAGGGTGAATGGCGCAACAAGTCTCAACGAAAGATGTGCGCATTATGAGCGCAAACTGTGACAATCCGAAGCCGTATATAACGAAAATCAAAGGCAATATGCAGGTAGAAAGTTATAAGCCAAGAAGGCTTTGTAGACAACCATTGAAAACAAGCGTCAGTACTGGCGCTTTTGAAATGAAACCCGCATGAGTAGGCTCCAGATATTGTTCTTTGCGTCAATTCTGACATACCCAACAACATCTTATTCTAACTTATTCTATTAAACTGTTAAAGATGCACTCACACCTACGACGTTACGAGGACTGCGGAGTCAACTGCGTATATTAAATATTACCAGATCCAAACAAAGCTTCTATTTGTTTTGATGCGCTATTAAGAAGCTCAAACAATAAGCTGCATGCACGTTTTTTTATTATATATGTCATTGTGTAATTGAATTATTTTTGAATGCTAACGTTTTTTTTTTCCTTTGATGTACTTCATAAGTTCGAGACTACGGCTCATAAACATTCACATAGGTGAGTGGTAGGAAATATAGCGGTGGGGAAAGGTATGCGACATGAAGGTCTTTCGTGGCATCATGCATTCACGCTGTAACTCGTATGTACCGACGCACTCCGTGACTCGAACTTTCACTAATGTATGGTAGCGGGAAAGAACTGCCGCAGATGTGATGGATTGGCGTTTGCTAATCTTACGCAGCAGGCGGTAACTCGGAGTGCTCGACAGGACAGGATGAGACAACCGTTCGCACGAAACGTTTCTGAAGATCCTAAAACCTTTTAAACATGCTGCTGTTTAGCCAGGTACATGTCCATCAGTACTGACCGTGCACCTGGAGTATAACATGTGCGGCCAGCCATGAAATGCTTTGAAGCCACAGTGCAACTTATTAAGCTAGATATCCAAGGCCTATGCGTGCGTTTGTTTGTGTTTCACGCCCCCTGGCCTGTTCACGCTTATGTTTGTTTGTTCCAAAAAGGAAATGAGTGATAGGATATAAAATAGGCTAGCTTGGAAAGGTGTGCAGTTCAGCCAGTTCACAAAGTGGAAACTTTGTCGAAAAATAAAAAAAGAAAAGGCAATGCAGATGCTCATGTGAGCATCTATTTTGTCTGCCTTGCCGCTTTATTTCCTAAAAAGTTTTTGTTCGATACTATGTTCAGTACGTAGCATGAACACGTTACAAGTCTTGGTCTCGGGAAAAGTGTGCTTGAATGTGAGCATTAGATATATAGCCACAGTTTTTATCTGTTCCTACATGTGTAGACACTGGTTCGTAAATATCATGTCAATTTTGTTCTTAAACATCGGAGCACTTCAACAGTGTATAATTTTGAGCTAGTTGGTGATGAATTTTGGGATGCATAATTTTGTAATTTCCAAGATGTTGCCAATAAAGGAAGAAAAGTCAACACTTACTGTGCAGTCAATGGCATATATTGCATATAACTGTTTTATTCAAGCACTGGGAGTGCTGACGTTACAGGTGGTCAGCACTTCTTTTCTATCTGTAACAGTCAGTTCACAATGCTGTAGTAATATGCATGAATGTAAGTGGGTTCACAGATTGCTCACATAAGAGCCCTAAAAAACAGCAAGCCTTGAGTTAATATATGCTCAAAGTACAAAATTCTGAAGCTGATCCAGTGGCAGCTGTAAGAACAAGGCATAAAGTAGAGTACACATTGCTGACACACTGATGTGTTGCTTTGTGAAGTAATCCTACACGCTATGATCGTACAGCTGCAAAAAAGCCAATGTCACATCCAGATTAAGCAAGTTCCCGTTTACAGCCAGCTCTATTTAAAATGCTAAACACTTTTCTGAAGCTATTTTTTCCACAATTCATTGAATGGCATAGATGTCCCTCGCCTCAGAAGTATCACCCAGCTCTCCTGTAGAAGTTGAGAAAACTTTGCACAGAGGCGTGACTTTAGTCAGCGAATTTGGTAAATCATTAAAATACCCTTTACATCACTCGTGTTGCTATGAATATTCAATCAGCTCTCAAGCAAGGTACTAGATAACAAACAATCTTTAATTTGGAGGATCATTGCCACCAGAAGACTTTTTTTCGTGAAGACAGGTTGCCTTGATGGAAACATAGGCTCTGGACTTAAGCTTCTTTTTATGCAAAGTCCCTTCTTTCGAACGGGCGTCCACAGCCAGACCAAATCACCTGTAGCGAAAGCCACGTGCGGGTGTTTTGCGACGTAACGGTCTTTCGCGCGAGCGTGGGCGAAAAGAGTTCAGAGCCGAGAAAGTCGACGAGCTTCTTCGGCGCGACACTGGCGTTTTCGTTCGTCGAAAAAGGAAGTATGGTGTCAAGAAAACTTTGGGGATGACGAGCATAGAGAAGAAAGAAAGGCGTACAACCTGTGACTTCGTGTTTCGCGGTATTAAAGGTGTATGTAACAAAAAGTAATACGGCATCCCAGTTCTTGTGATCCGTTGCGACGTACATTGAAAGCATGTTGATGATGGTACGATTGGTGCGCTCAGTGAGGCTGTTGGTCTGAGGGTGGTATGGCTTGGAATGGCGATACTGACACCCACAAAGCCGTAGCAACTCTTCGACAACGTCGGCCGCGACAAACTGCCGGCCGCGATCACTTATTACCACACGAGGGGCCCCGTGACGGAGTATGATCGAGTCCAGAAGAAACCATGACACATCAGATGATGTGGCTGAAGCAACCGCCATCATTTCAGTATACTGCGTCAGGTAATCTACGCACACAATAATCCAGCGGCGGCCAGTGGTAGACTTGGGGAAAGGGCTCAGTAAATCTATGCCGACTTTTTCGAATGGTGATGTCGGTGGCTTAACCGGCCGCAGTGGGCCGGCCAGTGGTGTGGTAGGTTGTTAGTGGCGTTGGCAGACATCACAACTTGCGACGTAGTGCTTGGTGGTCTTCCAGAGTCGAGGCAAGTAAAAACGTCGGATATGGTTAAGCGTTCGGGCAAATCCAAGGTGCCCAGAGGTGATGTCATCGTGCATGGCTTGGAATACCGCAAGACGCAGGCATTCTGGCTTGACGAGGAGTAGTGTGGAACCATGACTGGAGTAATTCTTGTGATATAGTAGGCCGTCATGAATCACAAATGGCGTGGCGCATTTAGAGCTACGAGCCACATCAATCATTGGTTTCAGCGAAGGGTCACGCTGTTGCTCGTGATGGAAGACGTCCAAATTTGGGAAGTTGGATGAGATTGCGGCCAGGTAGTTGTCGAAATCATCAGCATCCACAGTCGGAGATGGAAGACGAGATAAGCAGTCGGCATCTGCGTGACATCGACCGCTCTTGTAGGTCACAGAAAAGTCATACTCTTGAAGCCGTAAGGCCCAACGAGCCAACCGACCAGTTGGGTCGCGTAGCCCGACGAGCCAACAAAGAGAATGATGATCTGTGACAATCTTGAACTGCCGGCCGTACAAATAAGGTCTGAACTTTTGGACGGCGAAAACAACCGCAAGGCATTCCAGTTCGGTGACCGTATAATTCCTCTCAAGCCTTAGTCAAAGTACGACTTGCATACGCCACGACGTGCTGGCGGCTGTCGTGATACTGAACTAGCACGGCACCAACATCGATACCACTAGCATCTGTATGCAGTTCCGTGAGTGCCTCCGGGTCGAAATGGCGCGAGAGGGGCCTGGAAGTAAGCAAATACTTTAGCTGCTCGAAAGCAGCATCACACTCAACAGTCCATCGCAATGGGGCATTTTTGCGGAGCAACTCTGTCAGGGATGAGCAAGCTGGGCGAAGGCTTTGATAAACCGACGAAAATAAGAACACAGGCCCACGAAGCTACGGAGATCCTTCACAGACGTTGGTTGCTTGAAGTCTCGGACAGCACTGAATTTTTGCGGGTCTGGCCGTATACCGTCCCTGTTGACTAGATATCCAAGCACAAGGGCTTGACGCTCACCAAAATTACACTTCTCTGCGTTTAAAACAAGACCAGCTTGTTTGACGCAATCTAGAACAATGTTAAGCCGATGGTTGTGCTCGTGGAATGCCTTGCCAAAAATAATTACATCATTGAGGTAACACATACATATCTCTCGTTTGAGACCACGAAGAAAGGAGTCCATGAATCGCTCGAAGGTAGCTGAGGCATTACATAAGCCAAATGGCATAATGTTGAATTCAAATAACCCATCAGGCGTCACAAAAGCAGTCTTCTCTTTGTCAGAAGGATGCATTTGTATTTGCCAGTATCCAGACCTTAGATCGGCGGACGAAAAGTATGCGGTCGAGTGCAGACAATCAACAGCATCGTCGATGCTTGGTAGCGGATACATGCCTTTCTTTGTGACAGAGTTGAGACGGCGGTAGTCTACAAAAAATCGCCAAGAGTTGTCTTTCTTTTTTACCAATATAACGAGCTGCCCAGGGACTGCTTGACTCTTGAATAGCATGTCGTTGACCTGATCGGCAATCACTTGCCTCTCTGACGGGGATATGCGATAGGGTTTTTGGCGTATCGGTGTAGCATCTCCTGTGTTGATGCGGTGGTGCATACGGGATTCGGGCAACATGAAACACTGCTTGTTTTGAGCGAAATCAAAGACTCCCGCGTCGCGTGTAAGCTCCTCCTCGAGGACATTCTGCTCGGAAGAAGGCAACGACTTATTGATGATACGTTTCATCTCGGCTGAGTAGTTGGGCGCAGTCTGACTGATGGCTGGAGACTCTGAGACCATTCCGACGTCAAATGTGGCCTGCTCCTAGAACATTCCCACTTTGAATCCGGCTGGTAGAACAACAGGCTCTGAGGCTGCGTTGAGCGCCCATAAGCAAGCATGTCTGTCGATGGCTGTAAGGACAGACCATGGGACCAGCACATTCTTCTTGATGGCGTTTGCATGATCAGGCTCCACAAGTCCAGTGCAGGGTCCTGAGCGGACATGAGAAGAGCATACGGGTACAAAGACTGCTGTCCGACCAGGGATTGTCACATCTTCAGACAACGAAAACGCATCGATGGGTAGAGTCGGAAAATCGTCAACTATTGCAGCGGGCAACATACTTTGTAGAAGAATCTCTCCAGTTCCACAGTGAAGCGTAGCGCCGCATTCATGAAGGAGGTCTATCCTTAAAATCACGTCATGAGTTGCGCGAGCCAGTACAGTGAATTCAACTCGGAAATTTTGTCCACCAATCGTGAGTACAACTGAACAAATACCAACAGGGCATAATGCTTCGCCTCCAACTCCACGAAAAGTTTCTTTACGATTCCACGTGAACATAACTTTGTGACCCAAGAAACGATGTTTGAAACGAAGACCGAT